CTCTCCCGGCCAACTGAGCCCATGGCTCTCCGTCTACGAGCTGCCACTCGTTGCAACCCCTTTCTCTTTGTGTCTTCTTTCATCCCACCTTCACTCAACCGTATAGTTATACCATATAATTTGCGTTGTACTTTCCCCACCGATCAAAAACTATAGATTTGCATATACCGATCTAAATACAATATAAGTTCACAGTTATTTATGCTCTGAAACCACAAACAGTATCTATTTCACATGTTTCATCTCAATACGTGCTTTTCAGTTGTATTCTCTATAGCATTTTATCGAGGTGGAGAGAGCGCTATTCTTGAGTAATACCTCGGAGGAATTCCCTTCGTATCAGTGTCACCATTCGGTCCACGGGACAAGTCGGCGTTCCAATCTTCGGCCACTTGGCGCCGCGTACACCAGTTATGCAATCGTGGATGCCACATCTAACTGGAGGTATTCTCACACGCCAGGGTGCGCGCTTCGCTCGCGACACATGGTCTTTACTCTCCAAACACACTCTAAGTGTATGTTGATTATGTGTTTCATGAACAAACGATGTGATCTTTGTGAACACCACTGAACAAATTAAAAGCAAAAAATGAAATTTGGAGAAATCTAATAATTCTGGATTGTGGGACTTAATAGGAATTATTAATTACACATATCTATTATATATTAAGCATAAATATTCATCTAGTTCATCCTCATTTACTGTTTCAACTGGTTATCTAGAATTAATGTGCTTTAATTGGGGGGACTAACTTTATTCTTTTTGAATATGTTTGTCTTCTCAATGACGCCTCAGTTCAGTAGTTCAGAAGAGGCGTTAGGATTCCAATAATTTGTCACAAAACCAATTAGTCCAATCCACTTCACATAAAAATATTCTTTGTCATTAACAACAGAGAATTTAAAAATGCATATTTGAAGGTTACATACAAAAAACTTACAATCAACATACCATCAAACAACATTATTCTGATAATAATTTTCCAATTTAAATATTTATCCAAAGAACTTTAAGAGAATACGCCAGTAGATATATCAACACAAATATTGGCTTAGGAGGCTGAACTAAACATAACTTGTCAAAAGGACAGTCATTCACGCCACTGACAACAACACCACCCGATGGTTAATTAATTAGTTCCTGAAGAAAGAAGAAGAAAAAAAAATAACGATAAAGTTACGAATAATTTGGTCCACAAATTCAAATTTAAAAAAGCAAATGTTGTTTTTACCGGAATTAATGTTATGACAAAGAAAATATTCACGAAAAACAAACAACAAAACAAAAAACCAATTTTATTAACTTGCCAATGCGAATTTAAGCAGCAATAATCGAGCGAAAACATTGTGAATACAATCTCCATCTATAAACTCAAATAGAATTTATACCATCTGCAACTAACAGAAGTTTTAATTAAATCTTTATTAAAGATTAAGAAATGTAGCATTTACTTTCAAACAACATTAGTCAACACCTGCTCTGACCAAAAGCTTGAAAAGACGACTGACCAATCAATTTGAATGAACTCTTAGATTTAAAGGCATTTGTTTACATTAAATTCAATAATTTCATGATAGTCAGCAGAGTATCTTATTTATTACTACTATCAAAATACATCTTGTTGGTACATGAAAATTATATATTATTCATGTTATATCTGCATTTCTGTTATGAGGAGCTGTTCTTCCACACATTTGCTGCAGATATCAGACAAAAGAATGCAATAAGGCATAAGAAGAATCCTGTCTATCTCTATATACGGACCTTTAAACCTAATCACTCCAATCTTAATCTATTGAATCGCGAGTGATGATAGAGTCGCCTCGTCCAATTACCTGCGTCGACTCAATCTCGTTTTAGCGCATTATGTGTTGTGTGTGTGTCTCCAACTGATATTCATTCCTCCTGTCAGGAGGCTCATGATCTATCGCTAAAAACCTTGTTGTATTTTACACATATACCTCTCACATCCTGCTCACCTCATTTATTAATTTTACTTACTGCAACACTGTGTGGATCGCTCATAACGGTATATCGCTAATAGAACAAAGATGTTACCTAGAGGCTCCAAACATCAGCATCGCTTAATTACAATATCTCCCTACGAGTCCACGACAGCGCGTTGACTAGATATAGTGAGACTCTGCATGTTCTTACTTTATTCTCCAATTTTATGAAGATCTGAAATGTTTGGTTCTTACTTACACTATGTCACGTAAGCGTCATAATGTTTTTGACCAAAATATTTGTATTGGCCACGCCACATCTTCGAGATAAAATAAATTAATTTGAAATAATAAAACCAAACTTTAACGAGCATACATAGGAGGAATTTTCCCTCCTAGTTGTGTGTCACTCTTTCACTACAACACATCCATGTAACCTCTATTTTTTCATACACACGACGAAACGTTACAACGACACAGAAGGGTCACTCCCCCCTAACTAGCTCTTCGAAATACCACCGCCAGATCGCATTACTAGACCTCTGACCA